AAGGCTTTATTTGATGCTACATCATGTATTTACATAAATCCCAAGTGGAGCAAAGGGTACTACAGATGCTCTCAAGTTCATCATATGATGGGTGATGTAGCAAATCAAGCCTGTTATCTATGGGATGCAATTACAAACGAAAATTCAAATAACGCACTAAAGCAGGAATATTTGGATACGTTTTCCCAAATAATGAGAAAACACAGACAAAACCAACAGTAATTTAACAAAACGAATTAAATATTAGTAGACTACTTAAAAGCTTTAAAATACCTTAATTTCCTTTTTGGAACTTTATCGACTTTATATCATTCCATCGCTTGATATACCATTCACGGCCTATATTAGGGTAGTAATCCAAAGTATTCTCAACAATCTCCTTAGCATTTGAAGAATACGAATTGTAAATACTATTTGACTTTGTGAGCCACAAATCAGGAGTAGAATATTGCTTTTCAGGAGTATAAAATAACTGCTTCCTACCTTGTGGCTTATTTGTGAACTGCCTTTGCTTTGCAAGCATATGGAAATGCTTAATATCTGTCCCAATGCTCTCTAGCATACTATTTATTCTTTTTTCATTTGCTTGAATTTTCCGAAACAAGACTGAGGATTTTGCTACAATTTTCTACGAAAGAATTAATTTATATCCAAATTCCACTTGCTATCGAACTTACAGAACTCCTTTCTGGATCTATATAATTTACTGCACAAAGTTTTGACTTGTCTGTAATTCTTTCGGGAGTGGGGACTTCTGATTTTTCAAATAGATCATCATAACCCCAATATGTGTCGTTATTTCTAGTAAATTTGTTATAATAAAGTAATCAACCAATTTACCCACTTACTCCAATTTGTCAATTATCTCATATATACTTGATGATTCCATTTTCTAATTATTAAATAATTTTCAATTTCTACAAATAATTGCTATCTCAAATGCATGCGTCATGTCTTGGCTTCACACCATTAAGAATATGTTTGTCAATAGAGGACTTATTTAAAATGAAACTGTTAGGCCATAAAAATATGGCATTTCTTATTCATTAGATTAAAGCCGTGCTTTAATTCATTTTTTTTTTTTTGAACTGTTGGCGCAATATTTTACCCCAGATTTTTATTGCAAATAAGTTTTCTCATGTCATACCCATCTTCATCAGTATAATATGAGGGAATTGTTTGGTGTACATAATATCCGAGTTGCTTGTAAAATTTGACTGCTTTTTCATTAGAAGGCCTCACAAACAAGTCAATAAAATGACAATTTAACCGTGTGCTTATGTCCTCTAAGAATTTCATAAGTTTAGTTGCAACACCCGAATTTCTATATTGTTGAGAAACAGAAAGGGCAGTTACATGGCCATGCCATTGATCGCCCTCTCCTTCAACTTTGGAAACAAGATAGCCTGCTATTGAATGGTCCGGTGCCTCGCATACGAAACAAAGTTCAGGCCAAGTTGAAAGATAATCCCCATAATAATTCATATTGTATGTCTCTGTAAAACTGTCCAAGTTAACTTTGTTAATCTTGAAAATATCAGACAGTTTCAAAGGGCGATAAATTAGAGCTGTTTCTTGAGACATATTAAAGTCAAACAAGATAAATAAACAGTGCAAGCTCGAATTAAATAATGAAAATATTAATTAAATTTCCAACTTTAGTAAAACGAAAATTTAAACCAAAATATAAATTAGCGCTAAATGCCTAGTTGCCTTTTGAATTAAAATCATCAGCATGATAATAATGAGGTGCAACCTCGAGTAGCCAATCCGTCTTTATTTCAGTAAGATTTCTCATATACTCCTTTGTAGTAAGCACAAGTTCTGTGTATGTAATTGCTGGCGGCTTTAAATTAAATAATGTTGAAGAAGGATGAATGTCAACTACATGGCGCCACTTAACTGTAGTATAGTTTCCTCCCTTATTAATACGTGCTGATTGTAAAAAGAATCCGGCTGCGATTGCCTTTCTAATATGCTCTAATTCATTGGGGCTACTTGAAATCTGAATATCTAATTTTTCACTTAAAAGCGAGTCTATTTGAGTCTTGATGTCGCGAGCTTTTTTAAGGCTTTTCACTTGAAGAAAATTATCATAACACCAATATCCAGAAAAATCATTGCTCTGCCATTGATTATATACATTCAATAGTGTCAAAAGATCTCCTCCATGTACGGTGAAAGCCTTTCTAATACCATCTGCCTGCTTGGATTTTTCTTTTGGTCTAATGAAAATCGAATTTCCAACAGAAAGCATAGATACGATTGTAGTTGCTTCATTTACAACGTTGTACTTTTGAGATGCTAGGACCATTTTGCCATGCATAGGATCAATAGGTAATTCAGCCATTGTTCTCCCAACTTTCGTTAGCTCCCCCTTATCATCAAGTGCACCTAGGGAATATAAGAGTTCCAATGCGCGAATTAATGTTTCAGGAGGTGGTGGATCCATGAAATCAAAATTTAGCAAATCATCAATCCCAAGAGACTTAATTACCAAAACAGCGTTCCCCAAATTGCATCTCTGGATCTCGGGAACATTTGATACTTCCATTTCCGTGTTAAAACTTAACTTTGTATAAAGTCTAAAGCATTTCCCTGGGCGAACTCTACCTGCTCTTCCTGATCTTTGGTTTGCAGCAGCTTGACTACAAGGAACAGTAATTAAACTTTCTAGACCTGTCTTTGGGTTATATGAATTTTGTTTGCAAAAGCCGCAGTCAACTACAAACCCTATGTTATCAACGGTCAATGCCGTCTCTGCAATATTTGTAGCGAGTACAACCTTTCTAAACCCGTACGGCGTTGTTTGAAAAATCTTTGCTTGTTGTTCAGATGGAAGTGAAGAGTATATAGGAAGTATAATAAGCTCTGGTAAATTTGGATCTTTATTTACTAGTCTGCTTTCTAGTAATGCCTGCGTTTCTTCAATCTCCTGTTGTCCAGGTAGGAAACAAAGAATATCACCTCCAACGGGGATGATTTTTTTAGAGCTCAAATTTTCATTGGACCTTTTTATTTGGGAAAAGTGAATTTGCAAAACTGTTACGACCGTCCCGTCAATAAAATTTGCTTCAGGGGACTTCGTGTAATATATATTAACTGGAAAGCGTCTACCTGGTATGTATATTATTGGTGCATTATCAAAGTATTCACTAAATTTGTTTGCTTCCAACGTTGCAGATGAAATAATCAATTTAAAGGGGTTTTTATTGTTATTGGCGCAGCCTTCTATCTTGTCACTCTTTCCAATATCATTGTTTTCAAGATTCAAGTCTGAATTTCTAAATCTGGAAACATCTTTTACCAGCCCAAACAAAATATCCGTGTGAAGACTTCTTTCATGTGCTTCATCAATTAATATACATGAATAATTTTTTAAATCAGGCTCTGAAAGAAACTCCCTTAATAAAATGCCATCAGTCATATATTTGATAACAGTTTCTTCGCTTGTACAATCTTCAAACCTTATTGAATATCCAACCAAACCTCCAAGTCTAGAACCCATCTCTTTAGCTACCCTTGCAGCCACGCTCATTGCCGCCACTCTTCTTGGCTGAGTGCATGCAATTATTCCGTTTTTGTAATACCCGGCTTCAAACAAGTATTGAGGTATTTGAGTTGTTTTCCCAGAACCAGTTTCTCCGACAACTATCAATATTGGATGTTCTTCTAGCGATTTTATTATCTGTTCTTTAAATTTCACAACAGGTAGAGAGTTTCTAACATCATTGATCAATTCAATGTCTTGGCTTTCTATAATTTTATTTTTTGATGAAAATTCGCTGCTAACTTCTGTGCTTGTTGTTTCTAGTAATTCAAAATCGATCAGAGATCCGTCTGAAAGAATTAATGAGTTGGAATTTTTCTCTTGGTCAATTACTTTTCTAGTTGACAGTCTATTGCTATCAACTAAAGAAATATCACCAGATCTTGCTTGGTTTGACTCCCATATATCGTGGTCTGACCTATTAAATTTTCTGCGTTTATCTAACCTATCTTGGGGTTTAATTATTGCTGTACTGAGTCGTTTTTGTAAATCTTCATCGTAACTTTCCGGCATAATATATGTTTCAAGTAATGAGCCGTCAGTATCTCTCTCTTCAACCATCTTACCAGCCTCGACTAATATTTTTTGTTCTGCAGTGAATTCATTTCTTTTTTTTTCATCGACTTCCTTTCCAATTGAAGCATAAAGTAGTTCTTTACTTTTTAATACTCTCTCAGCTAACTCCAATTGACGTTTCTCTCGATCTGCCAGGTACTGGCGTCGTCTAAGTTCTCTTTCTCGATCTAAATTTCTCATTTTCAAACTAAATGTATTTTAAAAAAGATAGGATTCATGTTTTCAAATATTTAAAAGCTACCACTTCCTACAAGTCAAAATTTATGTTATTTCAAGTTTTACAGCCACCGCTTAAAATTTTAGGATCTTTGCAGAAGCGGTAACTTTAGAAAGCAAGTACTAATAACGCCTTGAAATTAATTAGAGAATAATGTACTGCCTAAAAATTTAATCACCAAAGAGATTTTAACAAAAAATAAATTAATTTGCTTCTATTTGTATTTTTATGGAATTTAGCTATCAATAGTTTACAATATCACTATTTCATATTTGCAAATATTAAGAGTTTATTTCCTCAATTTTAACTGAAATGACCAGAATTAAAATAAATAAGCTACGAATGATAGGGTATTGGAATTGGCTGTGTGGTGATGACCTTTGCAGTATTTGCAGTGAATCTTTTGAACTTACGTGCCCTCAATGCTTTAAGCCCGGTGACTCATGTCCGCCAGCATTCGGCGAGTGTGGTCACTCTTTCCACCTTCACTGTATACATGAGTGGCTTTCGCGTGCAAGAAATGATTCTGGAATGTGCCCAATGTGCAGAAGAGAATTTAAATTTCAATCTAATGCCAATATTCTACAAAACACCGACAAGTGATATGTTCTGCATTTTGCTTTAAATAGCTTTATTATCAAGCCCACCCCTTAATAAAGGAGGATGGTCTAGGGGTTATGACGCTTGCTTCACACGCAAGAGGTCACGGGTTCGATTCCCGTTCTTCCTATTTTAATCCCAGCGCGCATATGTATCACTACAGAATTAACAATAAAATTTCAAGTTATTATAAAGAGTCTAGTTTTGTTCTAGTTAATTTTACATTACTCACTATTGCTCTCAGATGAAGAAGATGAAATGTAATTATTCGTAGTTTCTGAGGTATTCTTATTAAAAATTTGGTCGTAAAATTCGCTTTGCCATGTATCGCGCGGGCCCTCGTATTCCTTTCTCTCAACTTCAAATCTTAATCTTTTCACAATCGTACCTGAATCATCTAAAGCATTTAGCTTTTCTAGATCTTCTGCTTTAAACTTTTCATATGATTTTGCAACCTGAATTAGGCATAAATCTTTCAATGAAGGTGGAAAACTGAGATATTCTTTTTCACTCATTAATTCTTCAAAATTAACATCTTCAAAAAATTTGGATTTCTTTACCTCTTCAATTGTAGCTCTTTCGGAAGGCTCTTGTTTGAGTAAGGACTCTACCAATAGCTTTGCATCTTTAGGAAAATCTGGAGGGAACTTTAATCCATTTTGAAAAACCCTGCAAAAAACAAGAAATTCACTAGGAGCATTAAATGGAGGGTATCCGCAAATCACTTGGAACACAGTACAGCCAAAACTCCACAGATCAACTGCCTTTGTTGGTGGCTTATTCCGTATAGTTTCAGGTGCCATGAACTGCGGCGTTCCAACAAAATATTTGAATTCTCTTCTGCCTCTGTTTATAGTGAATCTGCATTCACACGACGAACCACAGTTTTTGGAGTTGCAAACAATATCGTCTAAATGAATTGATGATCCAAAATCCGCCAACTTAAGCTGTCCATTTTTCATTAGCAAACAGTTTTCTGCCTTAATATCACGATGAATTATGTTCAAATTATGTACGTCCTCTATTGCAATCAATAACTGAGCTAAATAGTAAACTGCCTGTTTCAATGGTCTTATTCCAATAGGAAGAATTTTTTGCCATAATTCTCCATCTGTGCAAAGCTCATATACTAAATAAACGTTTTCTTCATTTGCAAATGAATTTAGTAGTTTAATCACATTCCTTGAACGAGAGTTATTTATTTTAGTACATATTTTCTTTTCATTTAATATTTCACCTTCTTTTTTCAATGCTCTTAATTGTGACTTGTTAGCAACTTTAATTGCAACGTGTGTTTTATTGACTAAGTCAAAGGCACGAAAAACTTGAGTAAAGTTTCCCGTACCTATTAATTCAAATAACTCAAAATCATCTATTTTATCCTAAGAATCAATCTAGAGTTATACAATTGCATAAATCATATCCTTACCTTCAATGTCTCATTCTTTTCTTGTTCGCAACTTCGTTTATTTACGAGATTTTTTAAAAAACCTCGCTTCATTATTGTCAGTAGTAAAATTAAAATTATGAAGGGATCTTTTTAAGATAGCATTATAGTCTCTGCATTTTCCTATCTGTTTCATGTAGTTTGAACCCAACTCCTATAATCCCCACAACTGCCGCCGTGATTTGGATGTAATTCTCCAGTTAAATATTTCAAAATTACAGTAATGAAAAAAACTGTTTGTTCTGCGAACTAGCAAAAAAATAAATTAAATAAAATGCATAACTATATAACACATTTCAATCTATTCTAATATGTTCATTGTGTCGCTGCCCATTATATTTTACATATAACGAAAATAAATTGAATATTTACATAATAAATTTTGGCGGCTCATATGCAGTAACTTTAATTTGGATTTAACTCCAATGCACCTTTTCAGGCGGTATCTAAAAATTACGTATTAACTTTAGTGGCAATAGCTCAAAAAAATTATAGTGAACTTTACAGCTGACAAATTAACAAATTTCGAATTTGGATTTACCTAGAAATATACAATTCATTTCAAAAAATCACTATATACATTCTATTATTTTTTAAATGAAGAACTATTATAACTAATTTGTCCCCAAAATATTTCAAAGCGCATTTTTAGCAATAATTAATCTTATTCAACAACTGTAAGCTTCTAATATAATATTTCGTATGAAGAGCATGCCTTTTAAAGAATGGTTCTTCAACGTATGAGAGCTACGTCTTATTTAAGACGTACAATGTCAGATCCATTTTCACGTCGAAGAACAACTTTGCCTTATATTGTCGGTATTTTTAGTCAGAAAAACGATTTATACAAGAACTTAATTAACACAGGTATAAGTAAAAATTCATTCAAAGAGACAAAAATACCCAACTATACTTGGAAATCCGATGCAATTGCTGTTTTGGATATATTTTTTACAAAACTAAATATATTATTTTTGTTTGTTCCTTTTGGAGTTTTAAGTTATTATTTGGAATGGGGTGCTCTAGCTACGTTCTGGTTCAATTTTATTGCGTTAATTCCCCTTGCAAATCTTCTTGGGATATTTACAGAGGAATTAGCATTACATACAGGTGAGGTTGTTGGTGGCCTTTTAAATGCAACATTCGGGAATGCGGTCGAAGCTATTTTAACAGTTCAGGGAATTAGAGCAGGTCTTATCACGGTTGTTCAAGGAACGCTTTTGGGCTCAATACTTTCTAACCTATTACTTGTGCTTGGAATGTCATTCTTTGCAGGTGGCATATTTCATCATGTCCAGAAATTTAACGAAAAGGGTGCGTCTTTTTCTACATCCCTACTCATGCTATCATGCATGGCAATTTCAATACCCACAATTGTCGCACAATTTGACCTTCCTCAGCATAATATTTTAATGATATCAAGATTAACCGCTATTTTACTTTCATTTACTTATGTATTATTTTTATTCTTCCAATTATACACGCATATTAATCTTTTCAGAGATGAAAGTATTGCATCAAATGATAAAAGCTATCCTTCTTACATGATTGAAAATATAAGCTCAGTTAAATACCCAAACGATCTTCCCAACATTGAGATATATAATAACAATATTTACAAGAATTACCCTATTATTTCACAAAATTTTAATAACTATCAATTATACGACGTTTGTCTTGAATTACCTACTATTTCATGGCAAATAGGAACAGTTTTAATATTGTTATGTACTATTCTAATATCTATTATCAGTGAGTGCCTTGTAGATTCAATTAACGGGTTCATTTCAGAATGGCGATTCTCAGAAAATTTTATTGGAGTAATTTTACTTCCACTTGTTGGTAATGCTGCCGAGCACATTACTGCAGTATCAGTTGCAATAAAAAACAAAACTGATTTAACAATTGGAGTAGCTATTGGAAGTTCAACTCAGATTGCTCTATTTGTTGTTCCCTTCAGTGTCATTGTCGGCTGGTTACTAGGAAAGCCAATGACGCTTTCATTTACGCCCGTATCCGCGATAATTTTGCTCTTGACAAACCTTATTGTAATTGGAATTGTCCAGGATGGTGAATCAAATTGGTTTGAAGGTATTTTGCTAATTATCAGCTACTGCATTGTTGCTGTTGTATATTGGTATATATAATTCTCAAAGTCAGAAATTTAAAATATCAATTATGTGTTAAATGTCTTAGTAAATATACTTTATATTACTAAAAATATACTAGAGGATTTAGACATTTATTTAATAAGGTTTTTACAATAATATAAGTAGTATTCTTTAAAAGATGTTTTGGTAAATTAATTATTGAGTTAAATCCGTTAATCGCAATTCTTTTGGGAGAGTTAATGGAGTTCTTGCAATTGACAATTCTCAATTTTTTATTGATAAATAATTGATTGATGCATAGTTCATAGGGAAAGATGTCGATAATCAAAATATATTTGTTACTTGTTCGTTTACATACATTTGTTAGGTTTATTTGATTTTCAGTAACAAAATTACGCAAAAAATTACGTAAGTAAATATTAAAATTTAGATTAAAATCCATAAATGGTATTTGAATCATTAAATCCTTTATTTGGTATTTTTCAGAAAATTTTGGCTCGTTGGTCACTCTTTTTTTCAATTTAAAGCAATCAAAAATTATTGTAACTTGGCTTTGATTAATTTCACTTATGTGATTATTTACCTCAAATATTGTGGACTCGAAATTCGAAATTTTACAGCAAAATTTATTTAACTTTAAATAAATCTTATATGCTGAATTGAATAACTCAAGTTTCTTTTCATCCTCCTGAATATTTACTAAAAAATGTTCGAAAAGAATATGAAAAACTGGTGAAAAGTCGGTCCATTTATTTTTTCTTGGTGATGGAAAAAGAGATAAATTTTTCTGAGACTCTTTAGGCGAATTGGTTGGAGTTGAACTCCACTTTAATTTTAATACTTCATCTGAATCAATGTCACTAAATAAAATAAACTCAAATTTTTTTATATTTAAAAAATATCTGTTTGAAACTTCTTTAGCTATTAATTTGTATTCGATTTGTCTTTGAATAAAAAATGAAGGAATAATTGTGTATTGTGTTTGAATAATTGAAGATTTATGGAAAACTATATGTGTAATTTCATTCTCAAACTTAAATATACTTAATAAAAATTGGCATATATTATTATTTCCATCCGAATCATAGTAACTGAATCTTATTGGTTTTGTTCCTCCATTAATGAATAAATATGCTGGAATTTGTTCTAATATAACCTTAGTGTTATTTGTTTTATCATAAAAACTGACAGCAATTGAACTATTATCATGAATACTCTCTTTTGCCCAAAAAAAGAGCTGACTATTAATTTGTTCTGGAACTAAACAAATTGAAAATTTATTATTAAACATTTTGTAATCGTATAAAGAAAATTTTGAAAGCTTCTCAATTAAAGTGTCTCCCCAAATTTTTTGTGTTAAGTCTTCTTTTCTATGAAAATTCATGTCAATGCTATTAAAGTCTAGTAAGTCATTTGATTGTGTCAGTAAATATGTAAAACTTGTCTTATTTTCAAAAACAAAACAATTAGAGGATTCTTTCTCGTTAAAATCGTTAAGTTCTACATAAATTCCAGTATTAAATTTTGTAACAGAGCCATCTTTTATTGGGTAGAAAGATATTTTAATTAATT